AGACATTCCTATATAGGAATTATCCATTCCTCACACAGGCCTGCTGTGAGGACCAAATCACATTCTGTGTCTGACAGGACTTGTATTGACAGTAAAGTGTTATTTAAATGTCAGGAGCAATAGAAAGTGTGGCTTCGCTTCCTCCAGTCGCTTTCAAAACACTTGGCTTCCAAGAGGCTCTTCATCCTGACCCTTCACTGAGTTGGGTCAAGGGAAGTTGTGTCTTAGGACTTGCTCCTCAGGAAGGAAAGGAGGGCTTCCGTTCCCAGCCTGCCAGACCCAGCCCCCAGCGCTTCCTCTCCGCCCTTCTCGCCAAAACGCGGGTCACAGTGCCCTCTGGTGGAATCCGAGGACCCCATCGGGAAGTCCCATTAGATTGGAGGCAAAGCCAAAGGCCAGGGCGTCCCTGGAGCACTAGTGTTTCTGGAACCGGCTAGGCCCAGAGAGGAGTCCCCAGTCTTGATCACGCATTTTTAATAAGGAGAAAAAACAACGTTATTCATACATGTCTGCGTCTCCAACTTATATTTGCTTATATCAGCTTGTCATGCTGATTTTTTCATCTATATATACCTGCAGGAACTAGGAGCTGTCATCAGTAAAAATAATATGGGCGAGAAATGAAAAATAGAAAAATTCCTTCGTTAAGTTCGTTTTTTCCTACTGCTTAGGAAAAAAATCAATTTCCTAAAAGCTAAATATTTACCAACCTCCAGAATACCAAAGTCCACAAGGGTGTATTTGAACATTTCAGGAGAGAACTATCCCCCTAATGCCACTTGCAAAACCTGTATAATTAGGCCTATTTTGCTGGCCATCTCACCTTCTATTATTTCCTATACTTTCTTGATCAACTTTTGTTTTCCCCAGGAATTTTAGGCTTTTTCAGAAAATCTATCTCTGAATTGTCCTTTTTCTCTTTTCCATTTTTTAAAAAGCTCCTACACATCCTTCCAAACCCAGTTTACATCTCATCACCCACCCCCATCTTTCAAGCTGCTTCTAAAGTCTTAAGCCTCCCTCTCTAGTATAGTAATGACATTACTATGTTATGCTATTACTATTTATGCTATTACTATTTGCTTATACATCTACTGACATCAGGAATCTACTTAGAGGAGTACTGTGTCTCTGCTAGACCAGAATGTTTAGAAGCACCTCGGAGTTTGGGATGCTGGTACAGAAGGTTTGATCTCTGTTTTGCTCACCCAAAGCCTGGCACCCCACCCCCAGATTTGTTGGAGGTTGGGCCATTTGAAAATATATCTAAAAATAATCACACTCTTGAATTTCTGAATAAGGAATCACTACCATGATTTCAAATGGAAAAGATATAAATGCACCTATAAGTAAAAAGTTACTATCCCTTCTCATACTTCCAGCCCCAGCCAAGCAGTTTCTCTTCCTATCAGTAAATGTTGCTGATTTTTTTTTTTTTTTTTTTTTGCTTGGCAAGATAAAATCCAGATTAGTTTACACAGTAATTACTTCTACCATTTGGGCCTGCTTATCTACCCAGCCCACTCCTGCAACCAGCCTTTGCCCTCCACTTTCCAGCTGGGCCTGAGTTTAGCTCCACAAAATGCTGTGCTCTCAGTCAGCCTCTCTTCTCCGGCCCCTGCCTCACTTTTTTTTTTTTTTTTAAATGGAATAACATGTTTCTCATCAGTCTGGCCTCAGCTACTCTGTCTGCTGTGGACATGGCCTAAGGTCCCAGAAGCTCCCTCCCCCACCCCAGACCTTCTCACCTTGCAAAGGTCATTGCCTTCTTCACTGATGTCTATCCTTAACAGGTCACTGACTCCTTGACATCAGCGACTCTTGAATTATTACTAAACACTGAATGAAGATGGCTATTTAGCATGAAGCCTGTCTAAAATCAAAGTCCCTCTCCTCCTGTATTTATTATCTCCTGGGTTCTCAGCCTCCCTGGGAGCCCTGTAACTTGCATTTCACAGCCAGGCCCACCTCCCTGGTGACCACAAGGCCCCAGCTTACCTACCCCTTGCAGCCTGAGGGAGGTGCTTGCCTAACACTCAAGTAACCTCTGGTTTTAGTTCTTCTCCCTGTATTGTCTTGTTTAGGAGGAAGAAATCGTGGTCACACTGAGGCACAAGTTTTTGAACACACAGAGATATTTCTTATTATGGATAATTGAAATGGCCTGGATGTTTTAATCATCTGCCTTTTGTGAAACTTGTTAGCAAAGGTAGTGTCCCTGAGCTCAATCAACTCAAGAACACTGAAAAATTAGACTTTCTTAAAAGGAGAGTCATGGCTATGTAGGGAGGAGATAAAATTTCCCCTAACCCTCTGGGTTGTTGTTGGGCTATTCAAGCAACCAAATTAACATCAGACAGATTAGTAGCTAAAATTCAATTTTAATTAGATATCTACAGAGAATCGACAAAGACAATGAAGAAAACTGGGGGGTTTTAAGTTATGTTTGGGATAGGGACTTGGGGCTTCAAGGAGAGAGAAAGGGGCTCACCTAGGATGATGCGGGGGTGACTCAAATGACAAAGAGCAGATGCTCTGTGACTAGATGTTTGTCCTGCCATAGAAATAGGGCTTTCAGATAGAAAGTTACTTCAGGTAACAATCCTAATTCTGGGTAAGCCTTCCCTCCAATTTTTATTGTTTAGGCAGTTAAGGGAGTGGCCAAAGTTTCTTATGAGCCTGAAATCTTCATGCCCAAGTGCCTCAGCTGAGGGCACAGCTGGGGGAGTCATGTCCTCCTGTGAATTTGTCTTGATGGGTTCATCCATCCAGACCACACGGGCTAGTGATGGTGGACCTGTCGCAGGTAACCAAGCAGTAATTATGTCCAGCCAGGAGTAGCTTAGTCTTGTCAGCGTTCACCATCTCCTTCACTCACTTCCAAAGTTCCTCTCTTTTCCCATGAAACCTCCCAAGGATGATTCCTCTCTGTGATACATTTTTGGTTCTAGCTAAAGCTGTGTACCCAGAATTACAATTCTTTGTCTTTTTAATGGTGACATTAACATTTTAGGTTCACAGAGAAAAACAGAATTTAAGGGACCGTCCAGCTGCTCATTCTCCAGCTTTCTACACGGAGTGTGGCTTTCCTGTAGTGGGGCTTCTGGGGACACAGTTTCTGAGCTCTAGAACTCAGCTCTCTCTGGGCTGCGGTTTGTGGGGAAGGAAGGTTCTGACTTCTTCAAGGGTTGGAGAGGCAGAGAGGTCGGACACAAGTGGCACAAAACCCCTTAAAACAGATTTGGCTCTTGGCCCTGAGCAGGGAGAGGAAGTTGCACTAATGCAAGAGGCCACGTCCACTGGCCTGTGATTTCAAACCATGTTTGGTCTTGATATTTTGCTTTTGGTATAAGAAGGTTAAATTTGTTTTTAAGAAGTCCATGACAAAAAATCCTTCGTATACATCAGTCCAATTCCAATTATTTCCTTAAGATACATTTCTAGAATTATTTCATCACTCGGTGTAAACATTTAAGGTCTTTTTATGCTTACAGCCAAACCAACTCCAGGAGTGTTAGGTCACTTTGGCAATTATTCACTCACTTTCTCCTGCACCACCATCCCTGGTGTTCCCTCCTCCAATTCTCCCTCTTAATCTCAGAGCCCTCACTGGGTTAATTAATGTCCACTAATTTTTGTAAGTACTTGAGTTTGTCCAATCACCCATTATGTAAATGTTTGATATTTGCTTTTGCCTTTCGGACTTGCTTTACCATACATCATTCCCTCAAACACCCTCCATTTTGCTGTAAATGGCTGCCTCTCCTCTTCCCTAATGACTGAATCCTGCTCCATGGTATGGACAGACCAAACAGGGTCTATTTGGAGGGGAAATTCAGGCAGATGTGGCCTTTCACTTTTCACAAGGAACAATTCAAGGGAGAATTTTCTGGTTCCCGCCAGTCTCTTCTCCTGCTATAGGTCCCCTATTTCCTACCAGGAGATTAGTCACAACTTGGGAAGTGAGCCTCTTATTGTATCCTGAACTTCTCTGAAACTCTGCCATGATGTAAGGAGAATCTTTAGAAAAATAAATGAATGACCTGGAACTGTCTAAGATAACCTATCCTTCACCCAACAGCCTGCTTGAATGAAGTTGTAAAAGGTAAAGCTGAAAGTAGTGAGAGCAGATCTTATACAATAACTAACACAGGAAAACACTGAACTCTGTTCTTAGTGGCCTTCCTTCAAAGGTGAAGGAAGCAGGATGGAGTGAGAGGGGCCTGGCAGGAATACGACAAATGTAGGGTGGTGTAAATGCAGTGGGACAATGGGGTCTACCTGCCCAGCAGCTGGAGAGAGCATGGCTCCTCACAGCCCCACCCACCTCATTCCAGCCTCTTCCCCATTCCATTCACCCAAATCTGGGATAGGACCCTGCCTTCCCTTATCTTTTCATTTCAAAATCACGGCTCACAGGTCCTTGGGAAGGGCACGCCATAGGAGATACATACAAAAGGGCAATTCTACTGCTTTTGAACTGATCTTGGAAGGGCAGGTAGCCAGAGGCCTAGTCACAGATGTTGCCTATGAACTTTGGTAGTTGTGAGGTTCTCCAGTGGCATTTCAGTGGAAGGGATTGAGTCTGGGTTCTGCTAGAAGCCACGCTGGGCTTTCAGTCTCAGCTCAGAGCTGGCCACCGAGACTCCTGCGGAGTCATAGCAGCGATCTGCCAAGAAAAGTGCTCTCGCTGAAGGTTTTCATCTTTCTTTCTGTCACCCACAATCACTTCCACTGTTGCTCAAGCTACCGTGGGCAGTGAGAAGCAGGGCAGTGTGCGCCTCGCGGGGTTAGTTGTGTGTGTGACAGTTGCAGCGTCTGCAGGGGGCCGGGAAGAGGGAGAAGTAAAGCGAAATGGGCCTTCCCGCAGGAAGTGGCGGCCGGCTCCCGGGCTGGGGCGCCGCGATTGCCTCCCCGGGCGCCAAGCCAGCGCTGGCTCCTCCCGCCGCCGGGCCTGAAGCGCAGAGCGCCCTCGCAGCCCACTTGGTGCGGGTCTGCGCTCGGCATGGGCGCCGCCGGCTCCTCGGCTCTGGCCCGCCTGGGCCTCCCAGCGCCGCGCCTCCCCGCGCAGCCCCGGCCCGCCTGGCTGGGGGTCGCCGCACTGGGGCTGGCGGCCGCGGTGCTGGGGACGGTTGCCTGGCGCCGCATTCGGCCAGGCCGGCGCCGGCGGCGGCAGCAGGTGGGCACCGTTGCACAGATCTGCATCTACCCGATCAAGTCCTGCAAAGGGGTGCCGGTGAGCTCCGCCGAGTGCACCCACTTGGGTCTGCGCAGCGGCCACATGTGCGACAGGTAATACTGGGCCCCGCGGCGTGGGCCCCACTGGCTGGGAGCTGGTGGGGAGAGAAGCAGAGGAGAAAGGCCTGAGCCGGGAAGGAGCGCAGCAGGCGGCCGCTTGGTTTTCCTGGGCTGCTGGTTGTGCTTTCTGCGTTTGACCCTTCACAGGGAAGGTGAAGTTCCTTCCGGGTTCAGAGTTGGACAGGTAGGTTAGGACAAGTCCCTATCCCTCTCTGAACGACAGATTCGCCCTCTGTAATCTCCAAGGCTCCTGCTGACACTAGTCTTTCTGATCTTTTCGTGATATAAAGCATAGGAACAGAAATCTAAAGTACAGTTGAGACTAGTGGGGAGACAGAGACGCTGGAAACCAAGTCTTGTTTAAGGACACTGGCTTGGGCTTTGCTGGGGTCTGTTTCCTGTCTTTCCTGGGTTAAGTACCTGGGAGACCCAGGAGGTGGAGGGGTCTGATCCACTTTGAACATGTGAGCAGAATGAAGTGTCCTGTTGAGAGGAGGAGGAGGGCAGCCCTGGGGAAGCCAGTGTGATCTGGCCACAAAGGGGCCAGTGTGCCTCTCCTCAGATGCAGAGAATTTGGCTATGTCCCTTCCCATACAGGGCTGGATACATATTTTAGTCTCCTTCAGGAAGAAAAAGGTCCCCTGTCATTGAGTTCACCCCAACGGTGGGTGACAGACAACACTCACTGCCCCCCTGAACTGGCTATGAGGAAGGCTCTCCTGACATCAGAGGATACTAAACCCTAGAAAGATGTGCCAGCTGCCTTGCTATCTGCTGGGATGGTTTGGCTCTGGTTCTGTGTCCATGGAGAGAGGTCTTCTAGCAGAGGCTAGAAGGATGGCGGCTGTCTGAAAGTCTACTCCAGGACTCAAATATTCTCTCTTCTCTGAGGACCGCTGTCCTCTTAATGATGCTGGCTCCCACAAGAGATAACTCCAGCTCGTTTTGGAGAGGTGTTTTGTCTGCAGCCCGTGTCATTCACTGGGGAATTTTCCATCCTAGATTTTTAATCCTAGAGAGTTATTTTAACCCATAACTTCTGGAGAGTACCATCCCAGCCTTACGAAGTCAGAAGCACCCCAGTGAAGCCAGCTCACACTGGGTGTTGAAATCACCCCAGGTGATTCTCCTGCTACAATTAAAGGATTTTATCTGGAATCATTTAGAGGAAGAGAGATTGTGTAGAGTGTATCCAAGTGTGAAGGATTAGAGAAGCTCCCTCATTGTGGGAAAGCTGTGGGCACTGACACCCTCTCCAAGCTCCCCAAGGAGGTGGGCTCTCCAGGTGCCCCACATGCTGCCTCCTTCCCCATAGATGGGCTGAGGTGTTTTTATGGAGTTTCCAGTTCTGTTTCCATGATCATCTGAATTCTCATGTCTTTCCCATTCTCATTGTTACTACTTTGCTGTGGCAGTTGCTTCTGGGCAAAGAAAACATTTGTCCTTTGCTTTTTGGCTCCTGTGGGCATCTTCAGATTAATGGAACAGAATTAGCTTTCCTTGTTTAGAACAGTAAGTGCTTGGATTGAGGTGGGGGGGGGATGGAGAGGTAGAAGGAAAGGATTTATTCAGGACAACAAGCATTTATTCAGTGATTTCATAGGCAGTAAACACTGAGCTAAGTCCTCTATGAGATGATTTTACTTAATTCTCATAACTGTCTTGCTGGCCAATTGTTATCGCCACTTTGCAAAAGAGCAAACAGCATCAGGATGGATGTCGCCCAGGTCACAAAATGGATGTGTGCTGGGGGGGTTTGAACTCAGATCTCTGTGAGGGCATGCATATCTTGTCATGCACACTGTGGTGTGAAAATGCAGATTGCATTGAGGATCAAAGATGAATTGGGGGAGACCTTTAACCTCTCCCCTCTTTGGATTCTCATTTTTTTTTTTATCATTGCAAAAGGACTTGAACTTAATTATCTCTATGGCCTTGTCTGATCTAGATTGCATTTATTAAAGGATAATTGAAACTCAAAAACAAGCAGGAAATAGCTTTACTAAATGACTATTATTGTTATCTCAACCAAGACTACAAATAGTGAAGAAAGCAGGGAAAGAACTGCAGCATATAACTCCATTTAGGACAGTCTTAGGAATTGTTCTAAGAAGCTGGGGTCTTTCTCTGTAAGTGCTGTGTGTTCACATTTCCAGAAATGTTTTTTTCCCAAGCTTTAGTGTATTTCTGGTTGTTGGCCTGAGCACCAAGAACTTCAGGGGCCTCTGAAGCCCGTCCAGCAGAATGCTGAGCAGCCACCCAGCCAGCCTCCAGGAGGGCATGGCTGCTTTCCTCCACCTTGTAAATCCCTCTTCTCCTTTGAAATCATTTTGACCAGGTCATTTAAAATCTGTCCAAATCCCTTCTGATATCAGTCTTCTATTTCTTCTGTGCAGTTATCCCTTGGAGAAATGAACCCCCAAATGGATCTTCCCAAGTGTCATGCCCACCCTGGATTCCACTTCCTCCGCTGTCTGTTCTCTGTATTTTCCCCCTTCTCAGGCTCAGTCCTTCCTGCTTCCCAAGCCAATGTGTAAATTTAGAAGTGATGACGGAGTGCCAGTTGTCTGGGCTGTGCTTCCCCTACCTCTGTTGTTCTTTTGGAGACTCTGGGCCATGGGCTCCTGCACAAGTCCCTCCACCAATGGCTCCAGCTTTTTTTTTTTTTTAAAGATTTATTTATTTATTCGTACAGAACTGGGGTACAGGCCAGAGATACGGAGGGTGAGAGGATTCACCAGGGACAGAGTGGGGAGCAGAACAGGCAGATCAACGAAGTACACTGCTGAGGGGAGCAGCGGGCGGGTCAGGAGAGGTCTGCCACGCCATGTGGATCTCCTCCAGGGCAGGCGGGGATCGAACTCATGCGGAAGTGGCTTTGGCTTCTTAGTGCAGTACTTTAACCCGCTGCTCCACCAGGGAGGGCCTGGCTCCAGCTTTTTGTGTAAAATAAAGGGCTTTAAGTCTGTCATAGTAGGTTGGGGCACTAGGTTGAGATGCTTGGTCATGGATCACACCACATGGTGAACTTAGGTTTCCTTTGGAACCTGGCAACCATTGCCAATTTTTTTTAAAAAGATTTATTTATTTATACATACAGAACTGGGGTACAGGCCAGGGGAGCAGGGGCAGTGAGATGATTCACCAGAGACAGAGTGGAGAGCAGAACAGGCAGATCGACGAGGTACTTTGCTGAGGGGAGCAATGGGTGAGTCAGGAGAGGTCTGCCATGCCATGTGGATCATCTCCCGGGTGGGCAGGGTTTGAACTCATGCTGAATTGGCTTTAGCTTCTCAGTGCTGTGCTTTAACCCACTGTGCCACCAGGAAGGGCCCCATTGCCATTTGTTTACCTACTGGACAAGGTGTGGGGGGCAGAGATGAAACAATATCCTTACCCAGGTTGACAGCATAGTAAGGGGTTTGGGTATGGTACAGATAGCAACCTTTGATCTGTGGGTGTCTCTGCCCCATCCCATGTTGGGTGGCTTCCAAGTTGTCACTTGTTTCTGCTATTGTGGTGAGCACCAAACTTGAGCACCACTTCTCATTGTTAACTCCCAATTGATTATAAAAAAGCTGGCAGCGGGCCCTCTTTGGTGGCACAGCGGGTTAAAGCACAGTACTAAGAAGCTAAAGCCACTTTAGCATGAGTTCGATTCCCACCCACCCCAGAGGTGATCCACATGGCATGGTAGACCTCTCCTGACTCACCTGCTGCTCCCCTCAGCAATGTACTTCATCAGTTGACCTTTTCTGCTCCCCACTGTCTCTGGTGAAAATCTTCTCACTGCTCCTTCATCTCTGGCCTGTACCCCAGTTCTATAATGCATAAATAAATAAATCTTTTTTTAAAAAATGCTAGCAGCAAAGGGCAGGATTGTGAGTCCAGAAGAAGGCTAATGTTGGAAACTGGAACTGAGATGAGAAGACTCAGCCCAAGGAGGGGCTGTCAGAAATAAGGTACAAGTGGGTATGACTTGTGAAATGTGACCTGTTATGTTCTGTTCTTCAAGGGAGCCCTTTGGGGGACAAGATGCATTGGGTGTTCAAGGCTCTGGTGGGGTTCACTGGAACAGGGTCACCCATAACACCACACTGAAGGATGAAGCTGCAGATAGGGAACGGACCCTGCCATGAGGGTAGAGAGATGGCAGAAAGTAGCAGGTGTCCTTTGAGCTACAAATCCATCCTCATCCCACAGGTGAGTGGGTCACAGAATCTTGGGAATGGCAGATACCTTGAAAGGCACCCCAGAGAGGTGCACATGTCCTTTCACCCTACACTGCTAGCTCAGGAAATTCGAGGAGGCGAGATAGCTCTGAAAATGCCTCTGTCCTGTCCCCATTGCCACCAGAGCTCATGCCAACATGCAGCTAGCATGGTGGTTGCAGGGAAGGGACAATTTTATCAGCACCTGCCCAGGGCTCTGCTTGATTGGCAGGTTCCTGAGGTGGGGTACGAGGGGGCGCTAGGTCTCTGTGACCTCTCCTCAGTTGGCCTCATCATGTTATCTCAGACCTTCCATTTGGCTCCAGTCACATGGTGAGGTGCGTACCTTGGAGGAATGCAAAAGGGGTGTCCTTTTATCATGCTCATCTCTGGAAAGCCTTCTGGTTCCCATTGTTGCTCACTCATCAGTACCTAGGACTCTTGACCCACAGCCCTTGTTTGCCAACTCACGTTCTATCCAAAAAGTGATGTCGAAATTTATTTTCCTTAAGGGCATTACACTTTTATTAAGAATTTAGTAATCAAATCCTTGTGCCTCCTAATAAATCTTTGGTGCCTTATGACATTCACTCACTTTGTGGCCGGATCTAATGTATGTGTGAGAAGAGGTGAGAAGCAAGGCTTCTACCTCTTCTTATTCTAGAGAATATTTCAATAGACTCGCTGGGCCAAGCCATGCCTTGTCATGCAAGGGACATACCTCACACTAGCTTCCTTCCTGCAGCCACTCAACTATGCTCTGCTGCAGGCAAAACACACGTGCTCTAACCAGGAGGCTCCCTTCCCACTCTTCAGCTCACCCATGGTAGCTGGTCTGTCCTTGAACATCCTTGTTTCATTATAATGCTGGTGAGTTGAGAAAAAACAAAACACTGGTGCCAGCTGGAGTCTGCTGGTGGCTGCAAGCAGATGTTGAACATCTTCATAGGAAGACTTGCTTTCTTTATAGTCATTTCTCTTAAAGTCAAAATTTTCAGGAACCTATCAAACCCAGGATCTAGACCAAGGATCAGATTTCCCTGAGTGCTGGTCCTGCCCTTCAGAGGTTTGGTTTCCTTTTACATACCTTTGTGCATGTGTAAGAGTGGGTATTAGTCATTCTACAACATGGGTATCTGGGGTTTTATTTGCATTAAAGATAAGGGGAATGAGTGCCTTGGTGGTGTGGTGGTGTGATAACAGACCTTTGAAGAAGTGGGAACCTAATCTCCTAATTCATACACAGCACCATCAGCCAACATTACTACACCAAAATAAGTAATAAGTATTTTTTAAAAGATAATGGTGGGAGAGCCCAGTGTATGCCTTATGACATTCATTCACTTTGTGGCCAGATCTAATTTATGTGTGAGAAGAGGTGAGAAGCAAGGCTTCTAGCTCTTCTTATTCTAGAGAATATTTCAACAGACTCACTGGGCCAAGCCATGCCTGGTCATGCAGGGGACATACCCTCACAGTGGCTTCCTTCCTGCAGTCATAACATGATCCAAGGGGAATGTGGGTTCTGTAGGATCTTGCAAGCCACCAGGCATTTTGACAGCTAAGGGCTTAGTTTAGCTGCAAATATTGGCCTCTGCAACATTTCAAATGCCCACAGCTGTTTGATTTTCTGCTCATTTCTATTCTCACTGTACAGAGTTTGAAAACTGAGCCCAGAACAGTGGGCTCCCTTGGCAGTAAGTGGAATTCTTTCTATGGAGCATGTGGTTTGCATGAGTTTTATTCTCAGGGTCAGTGTGTGCATGGAGAGGAAAGGCTGTTTAGGGGATCCTGATGAGGGATTTGCATGTTGCAGGAAGTTGGAACAGACCAGGTAGATTCTCTGGGAAACTTTAAGTTGACAAGACCTATTCCGAGGCTTCAGTTACTTGGACCAGCAGTCTCTGCCACCTGCTTTGTTCCACCACAGAAAGGCTCTACAAACTTTTGCCTCCACCAGGGGTACAGAGTTTTTTCTAGCAAGTATGGGAGAAGTCTCTTGGCAAAAGGAGGTCCAAAGTCAGGGACAGAGTTGCCTATGCAGAGTTGCTTAGGAAGTGCCCTAAGCCAGCCCTACTTTCTGAACTGGGGATTTTCCTATGATGGCCCAGTGCTGTCTCCCAGCGCCATTTTTGCTAAGCAACCTCCTTTAGGGGCCTCAACTTTACAATCCAAAGATTTTTACCATATCTGGGTAATTGTCTACAAAAAATAATTGCTGGCCGTGAGTCAGGGCTGTAGGGATTTCTTCATGAAACAGAAATCCAGAAGACTCTTGGGGGAGTTTTCCAAACATGTTGCTGTTTGTTTCTGGGCAGGTTTTGGCTGGTGATTAAAGAAGATGGACACATGGTGACTGCCCGACAGGAGCCTCGCCTAGTGCTGGTCTCCATCACCGCCAAGGATGATCACTTGATCCTCAGTGCTCCAGGCATGGACCAGCTGGTCCTCCCCAGCAAGCTGCCTCCCTCCAATGTTCTTCATGACTGCAGGTTCTCTGCTGGGGACACCTGGGGACCTGGGCCATACCTGTTTTCCTTTCAGCCACTCCCTGCTATCTGTCTTGCTACAGTTGGTATAGAAGGTAATGAGCTTGGTACAGGGAATCTTAGAGAAGTCTAGGGTGGGTTGAGATGGAGCCAGTGGTCAGGTATAGGTGGGTGAGGCAGGATATAGCTCTATTAGGATACTTAGGACCTGTCTGAGTCTGTTATGGTGAGGTAGGACATATGGAAGCTGGAAGCAGGGCCTAAGAACAGGGCCACATAGGAAGCATCAGGGTCAGTCAGGAGGCAGAGCAGGGAGGAAGGGGAAAGTGAGCAGAAAGGGCCTTCACTGTGGTTTCTGCAGGAAAGATTGGGTGATGCTTAGAGTAGCTCATTTGAGTAATTTAAGTGGGATCTGGGGCCCAAGAGTGTAAGAGGATGTGGGTGGGTGAGGGTTCTGGGCTGGCTGGTCTGTGTATGGAAGGTTCCTCAGATGAATGCTCTACTCTCTCTAGGAATTGACTAGCCCTGGGAGGGATGGTTCCTTTAGCATTATCAGCAAGATCTTGAAATCTCAAGCCACCAGAACATACAGAAAATAATCAAAGATGATTAATCAAATAGAAGGGGGTGCAAAGGGCCAGTCTTTAGAATTCACTTTTTTTTACTCAAGTTGGATAGACTTTTACTCAGAACTGCCAGGCAGTCAGTGGGTGAATGGGATTACCCTGAGCTGCGACTCAGGGTTCATTGAGAAGAATGTTGGAGCTATTCCAGATGAGCCCTGTAGCTTGCAGACAGCCCTAGCAGAGTCAAATGTAAGAGAATCCCACATATGCCCTGAGGCCTGAGCCTCCTTTCTGTCTGTGGGGCCCCTACAGAGCTGTCCCATTCGGGGCTTCCTAGGGGCTTGGGAAGTAGTGGATGCTTAGAACCTGGTCATGGGGTGTGCTGGACCCTTTTCTAAGCAGCTGAATATCTTCAACATGTGGAAATGTCCCAGTACTCAGGGAGAACCCCCCAACCAGATTGCTCCCTGTGCCCTAACTGCTTTTACAAGTAAAGTATCTAAATTAAAATCCATTATTTAAGATTCTGAAATTTCAAAAACCTGCAGAAGTAATAACTCAATGGATATAATCTTTTGGTTAATGATCTTATCAGGCTTATGAAGTACATGCCATTAAATCTGCATCACAAAGGAGGAAAAGAAGATGTTGATCACAGGCAGAGCTGGGATTTGAACTCACCTGCCACTGAGGTGTGTTCATAATGCCTGTGCACAGTAGGGGAAAGCTTTCTCACCAATTGCAGGTTTGGAGCAAATAAACCTGTCAGGGAGAACTGTGGCTTTCTAACTTGACTGGGGGATATCCAGCACTCATGGGTAAAATGCTTAGTTGACATCAGTGGAGTGACATATGTAAATGTTGCCTGGCAACCTCATGTGTCATCAGCAGTTTTTTCCTTCTAGGCTTTTTGGCTTATGAAAAAGGTAGAACATCCTGTGTGGCATGAAGTTTGGAGAGCAATTTAAGACCAGTAGGGCTTCTTAATTATCACAAACATTTATGAGTGGTTATTGTCTGACAAGACCAAGCTTATGTTTTTGTTTTTTTTTTAAAGATTTATTTATTTATTCGTACAGAACTGGGGTACAGGCCAGAGATGCGGAGGGTGAGAGGATTCACCAGAGACAGA